GCCCCCTTTAGATGGAATATGCTGGTCTCTCAGCCGGTGTAGTACCTTCACCAGGTTGGTCACATGTTTGAGCAGGGCCATGGGAGAGCAGACCATCACGGATTGTACAATCACCATTGGGCATGGTGCCAGCGTTTGGTTTGCATTGTGGAGGTGAACTGCGGGCTCTGCTTGTTTCATTTGTGTTCACTTTTGCAGTGTGTCCATAAAAGCTCATGTCTGGAATTGTCTGGTTGCTTTTCTCCTGATGGACAATGAGAAGCTGGTGGTCTCCAATGGGTATTGGGGGCAGAGTAGCAGTGATTTAGAGAGTGTGATTAGACAGGATGGAGCTAAGGACAGGGAAACTGTGCAGCCTGATGGTTAAACAGTGACCATGGGGAGAGAATGGGCTGGTATGTGTGAGGGAATGTCAGCCATACCAACCATGTGCCATGGGCAGAGTAGCTGCTGGGAGGAGCAACGTGGGGTTTTTAAAGAGGGTGTAGGTACCAGGGATACTGGTCTTTTGGCAGATATCCACTAAGTGGCAAGCTGTTCAGGGAACAGTAGGCTGTAGAATGGGCTAGAACTGGGCAAGAGGGATATCATAGGAGCTCACTGTGGTTTAAGAGGTGAATTTGCTACAATGCAGCAAGAGATCTCACTAGGTCTCACAGGGAGAAATCCTCGTGAAACTTGATAAAACAGACACTTAGCCAAAAAAGAACATTCCATTCAGGCCATGGTCTGAATTTTGAGAGAGCCAAAGTAAAATTTTACTAGTTACAGATCCATTCCAGGTACAACTAAATTTTCACAACTCTTACAGAATTTATTACGTTTGTCATAAACATGTACAAGATAAATAATACGTGATAAAAGCAGTGACTTTTCAGTTGATCCACTTTGGGATACCAGTTCATAACACAGAAAGACTGGGCACTGTACCTTGTTTTGTTTTGTTGACTGAAATTCTCCTTTTAACTTTGGTCTTCCTTTTTGTGCATTGAACACTAAGAATCACAAGCTATTAACATCTGCTAGCCGCTACTGTCTGTACACAATCGGACCTCCTGAATTCCAGTTGGCATTTTGATGCACAAATTTGCTCAATATCATCTTCTTGAATCCTGATTGGTTTCTTTAAAAGTGATGGTCATCTGACTGACATCACTTCCTACTATCTCTTAATTCATTCTTTGACTTGCCATTCATTTCAACTTACTACTAGCCAGAAAAAGTATCAATAGCAAAAACTGCAAGCACACGCCAACTCTTAAACCTGCATAAACAAACATTGTAAAATTACTTGGGATTCAGGTGTTTCAACAGTCAAATGGATTTCTGGTCTCTCAGTCAGCCTGCCACTCACCAGCTTTATTTATAGTGCTCCATATACTTATGCACTTGCATTCCAGATCTGTTCTCATCTGCCTCACAATCCACCACTAACTCTTTTCAGGTAGAGTGGGGGTGGGGTAGGGTGTTGAGGTAAGATGTGGGTGAGGGAGGTGGGATGGTTGGTAATAAATGTTGGAGAAGTGGTGACATACCTGGATAAGTCAGAGTGCCATGGAGCATGGGTTAAAATCCCACCGTGTGGAATTTAATTACATTCAGTAAATTCTGATGACCATGAAAGCATCACAACTGCACTTATTGTTTTAAAAAAAAACATCTGGTTCATGACCTAGAGGGAAGGAAATCTATCATCCTTGCCTAATCCGACCTGCATGTGACTCCAGACTCACAGCTTGACTTTTAACTGCTGAGAAACGGCTTAGCAAGCCACTCAGATCAAAGGCAGAAATGTGCAATAAATGCTGGACTTAACCTGGGATTACTGCAAAAGAATTTTTAAAAATTATGAGTCTACTATGACCAAAAAGGGGTTTCAAATAAAAGTGAAACATTCATTGCTGCAGCTGCTTTGATCTTCCCACTTTGACCAATTTTCCCTTTAACTGCACCTATATTTAAGAATAAGAGTTTACAACGCAGGGTTAAATGTGTGAAAATTCCACTCTGGCAAACGATGAATGTTCATGATATATTACTACTTGGAAATGAATTCTGAAGTGGATTGCTATATATTTGATTTATATTTCTAGATTCTGCGAAAAGATGCCACAAGGTTACTGAGTGTGCAAGGTTTCTTTCAGAGACAAGCGGGTCATTCAGAGAAAAGGTTTACAACAATAACAGTGTAGTTTACCAGTCTCCAAAATAGTCAGGGCAGAAAGAAAGAAGTCCCGAGTTGGTAAGAATTTAGTCAGAGAACAGGTCAAAAGGGTTTAACATGTCAATAGGAAGATATACTGTTGAATCAATCAGTGAAAGGAACACATTTTTAGGAGTAAGCAGGCTGGGTTAACAGCTTAAGGATTTCATGTAGAAACAGTAACTAAGAAACATGGCATCAGAAGAATGCATATACTTGCCAGAAAGAAATCAAGTGCAGCTGTGTCAATGGGGACAAGGAACTTTAAGGTGGAAACAGGATGACCCTTCACTGGTTTTCAAGGATCTGTATGGTTTATGTGAGGGCAAAAATATTGAATTCTTCTTAAAGAATACTGTAACAAGACCATTTCAAATCTTTCTCATATAGTGTAAAATAGTTTGTGTTTTTTTACTATGTGTAATAATCTTTGATTTTATTTGTTAGAAATACATCAGCAGCCTCTCATGAGTATGTTCAGTGACTGATCCACAATAACCACATTGCAAACATCAAACCTATAGTCTGTCAAGAGATAGTGGGAACTGCCGATGCTGGAGAATCTGAGATAACCAGGTGTAGAGCTGGATGAACACAAATCAAAAATTTCTGAAGAAGGGTCTAGACCCGAAACGTCAGCTTTCCTGCTCCTCTGATGCTGCTTGGCCTGCTGTGTTCATCCAGCTCTACACCTTGTTATCTCTATAGTCTGTCAAGCCAGGTTTCACTCTGGGATCTGCCTTTTCCGGTATTACTGTCAGCTGGGATCCTAATAACTATGATGGGTGTTCCTGGGCTGCCCTCACAACCTGAACATGGTGGATTTGGGGGGTGGTTAACTCACTATGTTATGTGGCTGGTTTGTAATACAGGCTAATGCCAACAGCATGGCATCGGTTCTTGTACCATCTGTGATCACCATGAAATATGGTGTGGTGATCCTCGGGTTAAACTCAATGCATTCCTCTCTCTCCAATCACAGAGAAGTCTCTGTTCTCTATGACTGGTGACTTTTACTTCAGTCTGGAATTTTTCTCCCTGAAAAAGACCGAGGAGGGAAGATTGGTCTTTAAGGTCATTACAGTATGTTGAATAGATACAGGGACGTTATTCCCACATGGCAGTATCAAAAACTAAAGCCAATAAAGTTAGTCTCCAGTAAATTCAGGATGTACACCTTCACCGAGAGAGTGGCAAGAACATGGAACTCATTACTACAGGGGTTGGTTGAATTGGGTCACAAAGCTGCATTAACTGGGAAAAAGAATTAGATGGATTGGTGGGATTTTGATGACATGGAATGGAAACCTGTATTCCGGTCACTGAGCTCTCAGATTTCCGATTGGAGTTCTTGAGGCCGCAGAATATATGCTTCAAGATAATCAAATGGAGACAATCCATTCCTTTCAATCTCTTGCCTCAAGCCTCACTTTGAAGCTGAAGTTTTTAAAACTCTTTTTGATGTTCATTCATTAAACCTTGGGTGCCCTCTGTGAAGTGGAACTGGCTGTGCCAATAACCCTTACGAATGCAAGCTCCATCACCACCCTTGTTCTGCCAGTTGGCACTTATTGCTCCAATTTGCGACGCAGTTTGAAACCACTGACGTCCTATGCAACCCCACCGTGATGGAATATTGTCGTATTCTGTCTTACCTTCTGATAGAACAAAAATCTTCAGTCAATTTTAATTTGCAAGAACTACTTTATTAACTAAAATATGTGAAATCTGTCCAGAATTATTCTTTTGTTGGCAGCTTGAATATACAGACCAAAACACATGGAAAAGTGCCTCAAGGCCTTTTAGAAAATACCAGGTTCAATTCTGTGAAACATGCATTTCTGTATTGTTCAATTTTTCTCTGCCTGGAATTGTGAGATATAATGAGTGTCCAGCTGGTTATAGCTCTATCCCACTGCACTCTCAACGTAAGCTTGCCAGTCACTGCATTTAATTTTTCACAGAACTCAAGAGTATGGATTGTGTGATGTGATCCTGGAACATGTGTGAACATCCTGGTTACAATGTTATGTTGCAAAATTTCATGGGACCAATCACCATTTGGCACAGTGCCAGGACAATAAATTTTGGTCTCAATCTGTAGGGTTAAATTTCCTTAGGTGCTCAACAGTATTTTCTAAATGGACCTTATGTGTGAAAATATTGGAAACTCTGTGAGGGTGAGGTTACTTGGCAAAACGCCATGCCGAACTGTTTACACTCTACACACCTTTCCCATGCTTTTTCCACGCAGGTCGGTGGTGGCTCTAATTTTCAAAAGTTGGACAATGCATCAAATGTTGCATCCTGACTGAATGCTGTAGTTACCAGCACTTGGAGTGAGATGGACTCCATCGATGTTTGCTAGTCAGGTAATTGACCACTTCCTCAAAATCAATAACAGCAAATAGCTGAAGATCTAGGAAGATACTCAAAGTCGTTGGGAAAAAAAGGGAATATTTTACACAAAATAGTCTGTATCTTCACAGACTGACGAGAATAAAATGCAAAATTTACATTTTCAATTGGTTTTTTGATGTTTCGGCAACTCAATGTCAATATTAGGAAGCACTCAAGCATTCCGACAAATGTTGATTCCACTTAGACAGATTTGTCTCTCACCTAGTCACTCTCTAATAATAATTTCATGTTTGACATCTCACCTTGTAACTACAGCTCTCACGACAGAGATGGTGGTATACTGAGAAAGAACACCCTTGGTTTATCATAAACAAAAACAAAATGCTCGAGAAACTCAGCACATCTGGCAGCATCTGGCAGAGAGAAACAGGGTTAATGTTGAGTCCAATGTGACTCAGCTCCTGACCTGCTGAGTTTCTCTAGCACTTTCTGCTTTTATTTCAGATCTTCAGCATCCCCAGTATTTGTTATTTTTTGGTCCCCTTGGTTTATCTCCTGCTGTTCTGAAATGAGGAACCAAGCTGTCTTTTTACCGATTTTAAAAATGATTTCATTGACCATGGGATGCTCTGATGTCCTGAAAAGTAAACCAGAATCTTTTATATTGTGTGTAAGATCACACCAGCCTCCCTCCCTTCTGAATGAAACAATAAATAAAGTGAGTTTCCCTATATTGTATTCCAATAGGACAGCTTGGAACGGGTTAGTGGGAGAAACTTCAGAATGGAAACTGGTATCTATATAAAAATTGGCCTCAAATGGAGGATTGTGTGCAATGCTGGACACTTTAGGAAAGACGTGAAAGCATCAGAAAGCCTGCAGAAAAGATTCATCAGATAGTTCAGGGAAGGGGGACTTAAACCTGGAGAACTTGGGGCTGTTCACCTTGGGGATAAATGAAGGTTGAGAGGAAATTTGAAAGAGGTGTTTAAAATAGAGGAGTCTGGACACAGCAGATAGGAACATATTAGTCCCACTAATCGAATGACTGAGAACAAGACGATTGGCAAAAGATGTAATGGTGACATGAGGAAACTAGGTTAATATGCAGTGAGTGGTTAGGATCTTGAGTGTCCTGCCCGAAAGTGGAGCAGAGGCAGACTCATGTGAGGCATTCAAGAGAAAATTGGCTTATTATCTGGGCAGAAGGTGGTCAAGTGACACTAGGTGAGAAAGCAGGCACATACACAATGGGCTGAATGGCCTCCAGTGTAATAACCCTCCTGTAATTTCCCCTCACCATCATGTAGGGACGTTGAGAAACACTGGCCAAAGAGATAGAGAAAGGGAACAGAGAGACTGGGACAGAGAGACTTGTTCTGTTGCCATCTTTGACAGGTGAATAATTGTGTCTATAAGGACAAGGCTAAAGGATAGGGGAGGAAGTTAGATCTCAGGACACATTTACAAATGCCATCTGCTTTTCACCAAGCATTTTCCAGCAGGAAGTAATCACAAGAAGATGGCAGCTTTCAGTGTCTGAACACGCAGGGTTGGGATGTGTCAATAGCCACTCAAATGTAAACCACTGAGGCTGTGGTAAAGCTGGTTCAAGCTCAGACTTCAAGGGATATTGGCATCACTCAAACCCAGCCACTGTATCCTGTACAGAAGGGTCAAAGGCTGAGTCCTGAGCTGCTAAAACAAATGAACAGGCTGGGCAACAAATGAAAAGGACTTGGGGCTCCAAGACTAACCTGGTGGATAAATCAAATGCTGCAGTGAGTTAGCCATCAGGTGCTTTAACCTGACATGTGCTTCATGCACTGTCCATGAGGTGAACTCAATAAGAGGTGCATGTGGGTCTACTATCACAAGTCGATGTCAACAACAATCTGAATCATTCAGAAAATTAACAGCCTCGAGAACTGGAGCGGTAAGGTGGCTGAGGTGGGAGGGGAAGGCAGAGGTGGTGACCCATAGATTTGATCACAGCTCACTCACCCAACCTCCCCAGGAGAAAGAGGAGGAGACACTTCCCTGCTTTATATCCTGTCAATGCAAGTTGTGCCACCATCAGAATCTAAGTAGAATCAGTGTAAAGAGCAGATTCTGGTATCAATGGTAGGGATGTTGCTAATGGCACAGAGTAAACCAGACCCTCTAGAGGAACTTGCACTGTATCTGTGTCCAGTCCCAGCTTTGGACAGCTCTTCAATTTCCATTTGATACTCGCCATCTTGGAACAGCCCCAACCCTAAAGGTAAAACATAGAGTGGGTATCCAGTAATAAATCAGCAGGTACAGAGTGAAATGGTGACATTTATTCTTTATGTACAAATGATGCTAGTCCAGGTCCTAATTCTGATTAATTCAATCTGTACATATTTGGTAGAATGTTAAGCTTCCATATGTAAATATATGTGCACACATCCACCTCGCACCCTGTTCTGCTTATGTTATTAATCACTAGTTTGGTCAACAAGTCATGGGACAGTGGCATCCAGGGGAATCCCCAGCTCACTAGAGTTTCTGTGCTTCTTCCAGTCCCTGTATAAACTTAGCTGAAAACCCTGGACAATATTCAGAGTCTTCGGTTGTAGAGAAAGGCAGCAATTCCTCTTTCTTGGCAACGGGGTTGTTTGTACTGATTAGGTCTTCTCCATCAGGGTTTTCCTCCTCCTGCACCTGATCATCCTGACTGGGATGGTGTGGGAACGAGAGCTCTGATAGGAGCTGGCCTGCCTTCCGCATCGCTGCCATTTGCTTGGCACTGCAGTCTGGGGTGTTTGTTTCATAGGTTTCGTGGAAACTGTTGTAATCCACTTCATAAAAATCCTTCTCCAAAGTCAACACAGGGTTGAATCGATGTCCCCAAAGAACCTCCGAGTCAGAGTACGAGCTTCTGGCCTGACACGTCATTCCTGTTGGAAAATATATTGGACACGTAAATGAGAAATGCTCCAACAACATGGGGATGGGGGTATATTTGTGAAATACAGAAGAGTTGATGGTTATCCACCTATCTGACACTTTATATGACCCCCTTAGACACCCAATATGGAGATAGCCACATGGCATGTGGTTACAATCTCAATATCGAGTCAAAAGGCTTTGGGTTCAAGCCTCACTCTATGACTTCAGCAGACAAATCACAGCTGATACTGAGGAAGCACTGCACTGTCAGAACGGCTGTCCTTTAAATGTGATGTTAATATGTGAACCTGTGTGGCCTCTTGGGTGGATGGAAAACTTTGCACAGCACAATTGGAAGAAGAACTGGAGAGCTTTCCTCTGCATCCTGGATGAGATTTATTTCTCAACCAACAGCACTGAAACAGATTACCTGGTCATTATCACATTGCTAATTGAGAGAGCGTGCTGTGCACAAGTTAGCTGTTGTGTTTCCTACATTTCGGCAGTTCAACAACATTTCAAATGTGCTTTCCTGTCTGTAAAGCATTTTGGAACATGGTGAAGTTGTCCTCAAACACAATGCTGCCTGATCAGTGCGAGGTATTGGGATATTTAGAGGCTTATCTTTGTTGAATGACATAAAAATTGGTGGAATGTCAAGTTGTGAGAGGCATGCAAGCAGTTTACAGAGAGATATTGATAGGTTATGCTAAATGGGCAAAACATTAGCAAAAGGAGTATAATATGGGAAAATGTGAAGTTGTTCATTTTGAAAGAGAGAAGAAAAGTACAAATTATTACTTAAACAGAGATAAACTTCAGAACGCTACAACACAAAGGGACTTAGGGGAACTTGTGCACGAAACACAGAAAGCTAGCACACAGGGACAGCAGGTAATCTGGAAAGCTAATGGAATGTTGGCTCTTATTTCAAAGGGGTCGCAGTATAAAAGTAGGGAAGTCTTACTGCAACTGTATAAAGTGCTGGTGAGACCACACCTGGCATACTGTGAGCAGTTTTGGTCCCTTTATTTAAGAAAAGTTGTCTTTTCATTGGAGTCAGTTCAGAGCAGGCTCACTAGGATGATCTCAGGTATGGAGGCACTGTCTTATCAGCAAAGACTAAACAGGTTGGGACTCTACTTGCTGGAGGTTTGAGAAATGAGAGGTGATCTCATCGAAGCACACAGGATTCTCTAGGGGTTTTTACAGGGTAAATGCTGAGAGAATGTTTCGCATCATGGGATAGTCTAGGGCCGGGGGCATAGTCTCAGAATAAAGGGGAGGCAATTTAAAAGTGAGATGAGGAAGAATTTCTTGTCTCGGAGGTTGAGAGTCTTTGGAGCTCCTTGTCACGGAGAGCTGTGGGAGCAGAGTCTTTGTGTATATTTAAGGCTGAGACAGATAGATTCGTGATCACTGGTGGAATCAAGGGTTACGAGGAAAATACAGGAAAATGAAAAGCAGACTCATGGGCCGGATGGCCTGCTCCTGTTCCTATTTCTTATAGTCTTAAACTGCTTAGTTTAATGCTCTGTAACTGCAGACTTATGACCGCCTTGGAGCAGCCATTTTGAGTGAGGTTGTCTCCCCCTCAACCAATGATAACCCATGATATACGTAAATGATCTGGAGGAAGGTATAGATGGTCTGATTAGCAAGTTTGCAGATGACACTAAGATTGGTGGAGTAGCAGATAGTGAAGGGGACTGTCGGAGAATGCAGCAGAATATAGATAGATTGGAGAGTTGGGCGGAGAAATGGCAGATGGAGTTCAATCCAGGCAAATGCGAGGTGATGCAGTTTGGAAGATCCAATTCAAGAGCGAACTATATGGTAAATGGAAAAAGCCTGGGGAAAATTGATGCACAGAGAGATCTGGGTGCTCAGGTCCATTGTACCCTGAAGGTGGCAACGCAGGTCGATAGAGTGGTCAAGAAGGCATACGGCATGCTTTCATTCATTGGATGGGGTATTCAGTACAAGAGTTGGCAGGTCATGTTACAGTTGTATAGGACTTTGGTTCGACCACATTTGGAATACTGCGTACAGTTCTGGTTGCCACATTACCAAAAGGATGTGGATGCTTTGGAGAGGGTGCAGAGGAGGTTCACCAGGATGTTGCCTGGTATGGAGGGCACTAGCTATGAAGAGAGGTTGAGTAGATTAGGATTATTTACATTAGAAAGACGGAGGTTGAGGGGGGACCTGATTGAGGTCCACAAAATCATGAGAGGTATAGACAGGGTGGATAGCAAGAAGCTTTTTCCCCAGAGTGGGGGACTCGATTACTAGGGGTCACGATTTCAAGGTGAGAGGGGAAAAGTTTAAGGGAGATATGCGTGGAAAGTTCTTTACGCAGAGGGTGGTGGGTGCCTGGAACGCGTTGCCAGCGGAGGTCGTAGAGGCGGGCACAATAGCGTCATTTAAGATGTATCTAGACAGATACATGAATGGGCAGGGAGCAGAGGGATACAGATCCTTGGAAAATAGGCGACAGGTTTAGATAGAGGATCTGGATCGGCCCAGGCTTAGAGGGCTGAAGGGCCTGTTCCTGTGCTGTAATTTTCTTTGTTCTCTTTGTTCTTTGATATCACTGACATCAATATGCACTGGGCAGGTCTTGATCCTCATACAATCAGTAGAACTGCAGTGTCACGAGAAGCCAAGGAGTACATGGTTTCTTTTCTGATGTATATTCCCGGGAGAGGACCTCCATATGGCAACGGCAGGATCAGAGTGTGTGATCTAAAGTAGCTGCTCCTGACATGGGTCCAACCAATAACTACACAGAGTCAGAAAACATCAATGTGAATTTATGGCATCTCTGCTCCATTCCAATCTTATTTACACAAATAGTGGAAATTAAATTAAATTTAAAATAATCTGGAACTAAAAGTTTGATGATGACCACGAAACCATTGTCGATCATCGGAAAGAAACATCTGGCTCACTAATGTCCTTCAAGGGAAGGAAATCTTTCATCCTCACCTGGTCTGGCCTACATGTGTGTGACTCAGACCCACAGCAATGTGGTTGACTCTTAACTGCCCTCTGAAATGGCCTAGCTAGCCAGTCAGTTGGATAAATTGCTATGAAGTCTAACAGCATTGTGGGTAAACCTACAGCATGTGGACTACAGCAGTTCAAGCAGACAGTTCACCACCATCTTCTCAACAGCAATTAGGGATGGGCAATGAATGTTGACCCAGCCAGCAATGCCCATGTCCCATGACTGAACATATAAAAATAAATTCAATTTGTATGATCACAAACTGAAAATCTTCCATGAATCAATTAGTAACACAAGCTAAAGCAATTGATTTTTTTCTATTGGTTTCTATTAGAAAATATGTGTTTAAGAGCAGTCATCTGTAAGTTTCAAGAAATGGATTTATCATATAAGCTAAGAACTTTTCATAATATGTCCAATTCTTCATGTGAGTAGCATATTTTAAAATTCACTGGAAATGACTTGCTATGATGAACCACTAAATTGGTTCATTATTCTACATTTGTTACTTTCTCAGTACATCCCAAACCAGCTCATCAGAGCCCATCCTACTGAGGAAAATGAATGCAAATTAAAAATCTTCTCAAACCAATGAAATTGGTGCAGTCCCTGCAATTTTTAATGAGAAGCACAGCACTTTTGTGGGTGAGCCCTGACAGAGTAAATTAAATCTTGGGCTGGTGTAAAATGTTGTGTAAGCACAAATGCAGATAAGATTGTTCCTCAGAACTCAAACTGAACTCGAAACATTAACTCCGCTCCTTTCCCCACAGATACTGCCAGACCTGCTGAGTTTCTCCAGAACTTTCTGCGTTTCTTTCAAATTTCCAGTATCACAGTATTTCTTGCTTTTACTCAAACACAGGTGGTTTTGTACAACAAAGATCTCAGCACTGATCCCTGCAAAACACCACGTGTTCCTGATCTTTGTTCCAAAAAATATTCTTCCACCACTACTCTCTGTCTTCTACGACCAAGCCAGTTCTGTCTCCACCTATCCAGGTCACCCTGGATCCCATGAGTCTCTCTACCTACGGTACTAGTCTGCAATGAAGTACCTTACCACATGCCTTACTAAAGTCCTTATAGACACTTCCACTGCCCTTCCCTCATCAGTCATTCTTGTCAGCTCTTCAAAAAACTCAATCAAATTGGTGAGATCTGACCTTCCCACACTAACCCATGCTGCCTATCACTAACAAGTCCATTCACTTCCAAATAGGAATAAATTCTGTTTCTCGTCATCTTCTCCAACAGCTTCCCCACCACTGAGGTCAGGCTCACTGGCCTGTAATTAACCTGGATTATCTCGGTCTCCCTTCTTAAACAAAGGAACAACATTGGCATTATCCAGTCCTCTGGAACCTTGCCCGAAGCCAAGGAGGATGCAAAGATATCTGTTAAGGCCAACTGAGTGACCTTCCCACCACCAATATCATTGTGGCTTTCTTGTTTTTGTAACCCAATCGAATAACCACCACCAGTAATCACTTGTGCAGCCGATTAATATTTCCATCAAAAGTGAGGGGGGGTGGTTAGGGAGACAAGGAAGAGACTATATCAAAATGGAAGTTGGAGGGCAAAATAAAGCACTGTAAGCCCCATGGTGCCCCCCTCTCTCTAAAGACATCCGAAGCACTGATGGACACTGCATGTTCCCTCTCCAAGGACACCGTGGCATGAATTTAACCACACACTGATCTACACCTTAAGTAGTGGGATAGGCTCAAGGAGCTGAATGGCCTCCTCTGTTCCTAATCAGGTGGCACAGATTTAAAATAATTGGTAAGAGAGCCAGATACAATTGGATACTCGGGTGATTTACTGGTAGCGGTTAGTAGACGAAATCACCCAAATATCATGGGGGGAAGAAATGAACATGTTCAGTTATCTGTGAGAGAGCCTCTGGATATAAAAGTAGAAGACAGATGCAGGGAGATAAAGTGTTTTTTTCCACACGGGGAACTGTCTGAACTGGAACTCACCATTGAAAGG